GGGGGGATAAATGTTTCAATATAGGGGTTTGATCTCGGTCATTTAGGAGGTGGGCTCCACACCCTGCCTTTCAGGGCCACCTATACACTTTAGACGGAGTTGATGAACAAGTGTTTATACCTCGTATTTTCTATGTCACGTGGGACGTGTAATTTGTCATATTCACGGTGAAAGACGACCTTGGTACTTGGCAGATTTTTTTTTATGCCCCAAATCCTCAAAAACATATTTAATATAATGGTACATACTGGTTGGAAACTAGGCATTTCTACACATTGCTGGACATCTCTTTGCCAATGCTCATTAACAGGAGGGGGGTATGGGGCATACGTAAAAATATTGTCAACTACAGCAATACATTTCCGATTGGGATGCTTCCAGGGGGAGGTGGGGGGGGGAAGGTAAAAGAAAGAAGTAAGAAAACCGCTTACACTGTTCGTGGCATTTAGACACAATCTCAAGGTCATCAGGGTGGTAGTAGTCGTAACCCGACGTCCCCAGGACTTCAAACGGCAGGTAACCTATGATCGGTGGAGCTCTGGAGAAGCAACATATATTTGATATTTTAAAAACCTCCAAAGTTTAGATTTTGTTTCCGTCAGAGTTTTACAGCACTTGCAAAGGAAACAGATCAAAAACTTCAACTGTAAGAATCAAATAAACAAATTACTACATTTTCACTGTTTAAAAAAATGGAGATACGACAAAAAAGCACAGAGGTCGCGATCTGTGGCCCAAAATAACAAACTTTAACTTTAAGAAGAGGTCAAATAAACACATTACTTCCCCTATACACCTGTGGCCGAAAAACAAAACTTTATCTTTGAGAAGAGGGGGAAAAAAAAGACTTCCCGTGTACACAGTACAGCGCCTCACCTGTGGTCCACTTCCCGTGTACACAGTACAGCGCCTCACCTGTGGTCCAAAAACAAAAATTTCCACTCCAGCGAGTGACGAGAGGTGAACTCGTTAGTGGCCTCGTCCACCGTGGACATCTCCCGGATGATGTGAGAGGTCTGGAGGCGCACCGTGCAGCAGAAGCACAGCGACTGTTCTGGTAGGTCGATGCCAATAAAGTCGCTGTTGTCGTTCACCATGGCATCTTCTGAAACACACAGACAAATCACATACATATCAGTTTGTCAAGCACTTCAAAATGCACAAAGAAATCGGCTGCAATCTGGGTTGCTATCTCCGTTTATTTATCCTGGGTTTTTTTCATACTGCCCAACATTTCAACTCCTTCACAAATGAGTTCTGCTTCCTATTAACATTCTACTCTCTGAGAATGTTTCGGCGTTTGGCCTTGACTTGCTCGGTGCCTGTTCTCAAACTTTTTTAACATGACGTGATGAAATCATATAGCTTCCCTGAGCACCATACGCTGTTTGTTAGCGACACTCGGAGGGTGACGTACCTTCCTTGTGGTTCAACATCTTCCAAAACATTGGCAAGGATCGAACTCACAACTTCAGAGTACAGCTGACAGCCCTTCCTAGAGACAAGAAAAACCCTCAAAGTAACCTATCATGCCCACACTTATCTTTAGCCCGAGTATGTTCACACACTGATCAATCAACGGACTGGTACCAGTGAGCGTACACATGACATACCATCGGAATCACCGATGACTTGCGATGTCCCACAGACTCGGACATACTCGTATGTGATTGGCTCCCCTGGGTCGATGGTGCCTCGCTTCAGGTGGCAGGTGAATGACATCGTCTTCTCCTCTGTAAGTTTAGGTAAAGTGAAAAGTTTCACTGAAACGTTTTGAAAATAAAATCATAAAATGATTCTCTACTTCAGAGACGCTTGTATGGCATCATGGTAAAATACTCAACTCAAACACACCAACATTCTTCAGCCAGTGGGGCAACTTTT